GTTTTCTTTATCTCTGCCTCTTATCTCTTTACAAACAAACAGAGCATTAAACTTCCATTGAACTGCATACATTTTGTAGAGGATAAAGACACAACTTAAAGAACAGAACAACCCTGCAGGCCAAAAGAGGACACTGTCTCTAATGCCAATAGATAGTCTCCAATGGAATACACTGAATATCCTGGTGATTTGTATTCTCCACTATGGTGCTGCTGGACATCAAGCATTGATCATTTTTCTTCCATTTCATTTATGTCTACACTCCACACAGCCAGAACATGAGCTCATGGGGAGTTTAAGTGTCTGGTGCTGCTTTGCTGTTTAATGCTGTTTAAGAGGCCACTGTGAGAAGAACAACATTGATTCATGTGATATTTGTGTGCTTCATGTGGAAGTTAAACTAGAATCCCTTAATAAAACTTTGCAGTAGATGGCAGCTAGAATATAATCTTTCCTTCATTTTTAATTTAAATATTAAGAAAGCCACACACTGACACAGCCAACTGTTCCTTAGTCATGGTTAATTATTGAAGTACTAGGGTGGTATATCTAACAGTACTCTATGAATTAACCATGATAGACCACACGCCACCACTGGAGGTCAGGAAAGAGGAACTCAGCTGCAAAATGAGCCTATTTTTAGATGCAAAGTTCTGTAATGTCCAAGAGAGAAAGCAAGGTTACCAAACTGTATCAGATTATGGCCCTACTCCAGGATTTGTATGTGTCAAGAGATTCAGTTGTTTTTTGCCTTCAAAGGAACTACCCAGCTAGAGAGGGAGAAGAGAAAGGGGCATATACCCTTTCCCTGTGTTGTGACAGAGGCAGTAATATCAAGTGTTCCTGGCTGATGAGATAAATTCTCATGTCAACTGGTTAGAAATTTTGTGAAGTGGTGCTTGAAATGAACAAGGCAGAACAGCTGCCAGGTGACAGGTGAGAAGCCTGCTGCTCACACAACGAAGTTACTGTATGTCACATCCACCTTCCAAATAAAGTCACTGCCCCCTTTCTATGCATCCCATATCAGTGCCCGAAAATCATTTCATTACCTTGAGAAGACGTGCAAATGCTTAAAACCACTTTAGTGTGATGAAGTTATTATGGCATGGAAAAAAACATCTTAATGAGTAGTAGGTCAGGGTTGATGGTTGGGCCAACAAATACTTCTGTTCACATCCTGTCTGTCAATTTGGCATGATGCACAGCTCCAAATAGCAGTAAAAAATCTTATGTTTGCTTTAGCTGTCCATCCGCCCCAACTTCTCCATTCAAAGCAGCAACCACTGTGGCTGGCATATGAAGTCAACACGGAAGAAACAAAAGCTGCAGTTCCTTGAACGACCATTGAGGCTGGCTACAGAAGTCAATCTCCATAAGGCCCCATTTTAAAATCTATCTTAAAATAAACATATTTACAGCCTGGGACAAACACGGTTTTGGTCTCTATAGCTAAATTCCCTGTTCATGATAACTGTGTGCGAGGATGAATTTTTATATACCTCGCCCACTTAAATTATATCAAGGCTTAAAGTTATGCATAATTAAGGGCATGGGTGCTCTGAGTGACAGATGGTTGCTGTCAGGCAGCTGATCCAGCAGGAAATAAAATAAATACTGGACAAAGAAGGAAGATAAGGGCTTCCATGCTAAGCTTTGTACGATGTTCAAAGTAAAAATTTGCTGGCAAAAGGGGAGAAAAACACATTAAGGAGGGAGGAAGTCACAGAAAGAAAAGTAAAGTGACGAGAAACCTAAAAGAAAAGAGAAGTTAGAAATGAATGTAAGCCAACATGAGCGATCAAAAGAGACGTGGATGAGAGAGTTGTATGGAGGGATGGGTTAAAAAGTCCAAAAAATTTCAGCATGAAATAGCAATAAAGAGAAGGGAAGAGCAGAAAGTTATAGACAGGGAAGAAAAAGACACGCTATGTGAAAGTGACAGCTAACAGTGACAGATGAGCACAGTGAAGCATCCACCGCTGCAGACAGAAATGCTTTACGAAAAGACAATAACAGAAAGGCAAAAGAATGAAAAATGAAAAGAGGTGGAGGACAATGGAGAATTAAATGGGTCAGGAGAAAGATGGTACGATACCAAAGTAGTGCAAAAGATGAGGGAGAGGAGTGGTGGTGGGGGAAAGGAGAGCAGAAAGTCAACAGGAGAAGTGAGAAGGGAGGATTAGAGATAAAATGGATGAGACAAGAGAAGGGAGGTAAGGAGGAGGAGAAATGCTTCAGATCCTGATGATTTCCGCCTGATGGATCTGGTCAATCTCGTCTCACTACCTCTCCGTCCATCCCCACGCGCCTCCTCTCACACATGTCCACACGTCTTCCCTGTGGTCTGCTGTGTATGGATTGATGTTCTATGGAAGACACAATGGCCTCCTCGGGGTAGAGAGCGATTCACTCAATTTTTCTTTGTCACCCATTGTGGTTGTGGGAATGTGTGTGCGTGTAACATGAACAAAAGGATTCACATGCTTTACTTGCACTTTGTTAAACTTTCTTTTTGTCCACAATAGACTACATTTCTCTCTGAACAGGTGTTGATTAGTTAGAAATAAAACCTTTACTTCTACAGTAGTACCGTGCCATAATTGCTACATGGGATTCCAGTATCCCAACTCTGGAATGAATGTGTTAATAGTAAAAGTACTAATAAAGCAAGTCTCTTATACTTTTGAAGCTGAAAACATCTGGCATATTTTCAATACATAAGTTAAGATGCTGCATATATTCTCTGTTTGTATAATGTCTGTTTGTACAACTGAAAGGGGGAACTGAAAATAAGAGAAGCCTTTGTGGTTATATCATGGCATTGCTTTACCATAAAGACATTCAGATAAAAATGGTAAGAGGCAACATAAGTGCATTTACACTGAAATGCTTTTTTGGTTGGTTGATCCTACATTTAATGAAAGAAATACAAGTTCGGCTGAGAATTTCAGTTAAAGAAAAAGAATGCTAATGCAGTGAAATCAGTCAGCTCACACAAATTATGATTATTTCCAACTTTTCTTTAAAAGTAGCAATATGTGGAGCATAATAATATTGGTGGGACTCGATTAAAAAAAATAATCTAATTAATTAGAGGCTTTGTAATTAATTAATCTCAATTAATGCAATTTAAATGGATTTTGATATATGACTGAATCAATAAATATAGACACATAAATGAGCTTAAACAACAAAATCGTGTTTATTTTTTGCTTTTCAGTGTCATAAAGCTGATGAATTTTGTTTGAAATTGTCTTTTGCATGGCAGTTCATAAGTTGGGTCAGACAACGATTTACGCCCATCTAACCCAGCAACAACTCGGTTTTCCATTTCTCGTGTTGTGTCCTGTGCATCAGTATTACGGGTTTGCAGGGAGCTAGTGCAATGAGCATTGTTCCGCGCTGTTTGGAGTGCAAAAATAAATTGCGATTAAATGCGTTATTTTTTTTGTCGCATTATTTTTTCTGTAATTAATTAATTAATCGTAATTAACGCGATAAAGTCCCAGCCCTAAATATTTCTTGTGCAAATTGAGTCTTGTGGTTGCTGTGAGGTTGCTAGGCAACTAGCAAACACTCCAGGAAGTTACACTGCCTGAACAAGGCTCATAACACCCCTGTAAAACCACATCGTGTTCCACAACTTCGGCTTTTGTATTAGCTGTGTATTTTTGTTACTTTTGGGCAGAGCCAGACTAGCTGTTTCCGGTCTTTATGCTAAGCTAAGCTAACCGGCTTCTAATTAATGCAGACATGAAAATGGCATTGATCTTCTCATTCAACTCTTGCCAAGAAAGCAAATAAGTATATGTCTTACAGTTCCTTCAACTGGAACAATCTCAGTAAATGATATTCAGAAAATTCTCAAAATATCCCTTTGCATTTATTACTGAGCTGATTCAAAGGTACTTCTATATTTTGTCCTATATGTGATGAAACACTGGAGATATAATTGTGTGTAAGTAATGACGTTGTTATTTTTAGGAAACTTCCTAAGTTTTGAAAGAACAACTGGTCGGAGTGAGCAATTGCAACACAGTTTGTTGGCAGGGTGTCAAGACAGCAGGTGGCCGGTTCAAAGAGCTGCTCTGATTCCTCAAGAGTTTCACCGTCAACAGCATGGAAATGAGTCATCCTAACCTAATTATTTCTGTGTGGTGGTTGGAACTAAACAGTTTCATTGTTTGACAGAGATTTATTGGAAGTATGTCTAATATAACTTTTTATCTTATCACTGAAGAAGAATAAAAACTCATTAGACATTTTTGGCAGACAGAAGGTCAGGGGCTAACTGTGTTGGAGGACTTGTCAACCTCTCAACAGCCACGCAAATTTGTTGATGTCCCTGTTAATAGTGTAGGACAGAGGAGATTGTTTCGCCTTCAAGGACAAGCACCGATGTTGTCAGGCAAGAGTAATACTCAATTTGTTCAATTTGAAGTGTTTTGGTAAATTAAATGTAACACTGCACTCCAGTGACTCACAAACTCTACTTTGGCATGTATGTTACTGTACTACTTGATTTGCCAGCAGCCTGTTAATATTTGAGATCATCTGATGGTTTATTTTGTACACAAATCTCAAATGTTCACAAATGTTCATATGCAGATTGGAGATACATTGTATATAAAAATAATAATGTGGAATACGCCTCTTAATATTACTTGTGGCTTTATGTGTAATATGATTTTTTTTTTCTTTAAATGATGATGAAAATATCAGAAATTCTGTAATTAATGTTTCTATTTAAATGTAATATGAAAAGAGTGGCTCGTAGTTATGAATCCTCAGAAATTATCACTAATTCTTGATTGTTTTGGTGCCAGCGTCAGCTAAAAAGCCCAAACAAACCAAATGTGCACTCCCTCGTGAATATACTGG